AAATTTAAGCTTCCACTGATTACAGGAATACTAATACTTGTGAGTCCTGACCCTTATACTATATAACTGGTAACATTAGCATACTCCTGACCCCTGCACTGTATACTCTATGTTGTACATTACATACTCCTGACCCCTGCACTATATTACTCTATGTTGTACATTACATACTCCTGACCCCTGCACTATATACTCTATGTTGTACATTACAATCCTCCTGACCCTGCACTATATACTCCTATGTTGTACATTACATACTCCTGACACCCTGCACTATATACTCCATGTTGTAACATTACATACTCCTGACCCCTGCACTATATCTCCATGTTGTACATTACATACTCCTGACCCCTGCACTATATATACTCTATTTTGTACATTACATACTTGTGGTGGTTTATGTAAGGATATATATTATTTATAAAGGGCGTGTCCCTTTCCCTTTGATGAAATATTACAGTGCCTCCAGCGTTAAAATACGGCAAATATTTAGTAAACCCAATAATTTGGACACCTTGATAATTTGATCACCACTTATTATTATACCTTGAATTCTTTTAGCCAATATGATTTTCGTACCATACACACATAAATTTTTGCCTTATAATAGTATAAATATAAAAATTTATTTATGTACAAAAAATTATATATATATTAACACAAAAACGCAAAAGACTGGTTGATAAATTGAATATTGGTACACACAATCAAGAAAAATATATCCTACCAATGTAATGGGGGGTGTGGTGGGGTTGACACAATAATAAAGTTTCTAATATTAATTACATCAATCACAAATTTTTAAAATGATATGATTTATTTATATTAAAATCTATTTATTAATAATTAATAATTTCGAATATCTCAAAGGTTATATTCTCGCAAGCCGTGGCCATGGAGGATTGCAAGAAGTAAGCCCTTGATATATTGATACTCTGGTTATTAATATTCAATAAATTATTGAAATATGAAAAAAAATTTTATAATTTGGCAATAAACAATTTTTAACAGTAAAATAGGATTTCTCTACAATATATCTAACTACCCAATATTGTTGTGATACACTAAGATAATTTTATGATTCCACACAACAGAGAAAAATAGTGTTTAATACAAAATCAAATAAACATCTCACCACACCTGGAATTCAGACTAGGCAACTCTCCAGCCGTGGATTTAGCTGGCAGTGGAACGCCTTTGGACTGATATATAGGGCAAAGTGAAAGATTCTCAGTAGGGGAGAATGTAGGAAGTTATATGATTAGAGGTTTAGGAATTTAGAGTTAAAGTTTTAGGAAGTTTAAAAGATGGTTATGCGAAGAGTAGTTGTTCAGCAGAGATCTTCTTCTTGATCAGGTCTTTCCATGAGGTTTTTATGAGGGTTTTTTTTTTATCTTAAAGCACAAGGGCTTTTATATCCACTAGTCCATTGTTCTAAGATACCTTCCCACCAGGCTTCCTGATTGGCTAGTTGAGAAGAAATGTGTGTACATAAGCTATTTCTCACCTGCCCGCCAGGTGGCGGTCATGTATCACAGAACAATGTGAGTATTTGAGATGACTCATACCTTGGGTGGAATCTTCAGGTAATTTCAGGAATTAAATATACGGCTCTTTCCAGATATAGCAGTGATCATACCTATGATATTCTAAATAGGGACCATGGAATATAGGGTGTATATTCAGTTATTCCTTCTTGAAGTACCATCCTGTCTGTTTCCTGATAAGACATGTACTTACTAATGCTATTCTATATAATACATCTTACTTCCCATCATCTCAATACTCAAGTTAGTGATATATAGTTCCCATTTCTGAATATTTAGTGGTGTTGGTTGTAAAAAATCCATAACATCTCATTTATAATATGTTTTTGTAATATATTTTTTGTAATTATATACAGTCAACTTTTAGACTTAAAGTGTCCTGAATTTCACCTCTTTGTTTCAGAATCAACATTTTCTCTGTGTAGGAAAAAAAACTCTCTGTTTGCCTGGCCTTGTATTGGACTCATGGTAAACAATTGTTAATGCTTTCACCCTTGGTGAACAATAGTATATGGTAATAGTTTCAGAGGTCTGTTGGTTCATCACACTCTACAAGGTTTGGGTAAGCTCTCAGACAATCAGTTTGGTTCCTCTATTGTCATGTCCAGACCTTGTATATGGTTTTACCTGCTTATTGAAGTCTGAATAATGGTGTTTGATCACCTGTAGAACTTCAAAATAGTATTGTCTCTAGGAGGAAAGAAAAACAATCCCTTCACCCATTACATTTCTCTAGCTAGATGGTCATTCGACTTTTCCAACCAAGACAAATTAACCCCTTAACATCCGGCTATGCTGACTTGATGATGTTATATAGGATTATGTCTTGATAAATCATGTTTTTGAGACATAATTCAAAAGCCCACAACATACTCCTGACCCCTGCACTATATACTCTATGTTGTACATTACAGACTCCTGACCCCTTATGCACTATATACTATATGCTGTACATTACATCCTCCTGACCCCTGCACTATATACTCTATTATGTTTTACATTACATAGCCCCTGACCCCTGCACTATATTCTCCATGTTGTACATTACATACTTCCTCCTGACCCCTGCACTATTTACTCTGTTGTACATTACATACTCCTGACCCCTGCACTGTATACTCTATGTTTGTACATTACATCCTCTTGACCCCTGTATATATACTCTATGTTGTACATTACATTCTCTTGACCCCTGCACTATATACTCTATATGTTGTACAGTACAATACTCCTGACCCACTGCACTATATACTCTATGTAGATGTACATGTACAATACTCCTGACCCCTGCACTATATAACACTCCATGTTGTACATTACATACTCCTGACACCCCATGCACTATATACTACATGTTGTACATTACTTACTCCTGACCCCCTGCACGTGACACTATATACTCCGTGTTGTACATTACATACTCCTGACCACTGCGCTTTATTTTCTATGTTGTACATTACATCCCCTGACTGACCCCTGCTCTATATACTTTGCTGTACATTCATATTCCCCCTAGCTCTATGTATTATTCTATGTTGATACATAATCCTACTCCTGACCAATGCACTATATACTCTATGTTGTACATTACATACTCCTGACCCCTGCACTATATAATCTATGTTGTACATTACATACTCCTGACCCCTGCACTATATACTCTATGTTGTACATTACATACTCCTGACCCCTGCACTATACTATATACTCTGTTGTACATTACATACTCCTGATCCCTGCACTATATACTCTATGTTGTACATTACATACTCCTGACCCCTGCACTATATACTCTATGTTGTACATTACATACTCCTGACCCCTGCACTATATACTCTATGTTGTACATTCCATACTCCTGACCCCTGCACTATATACTCTATGTTGTACATTACATACTCCTGACCTACTGCGCTTTATTTTCTATGTTGTACATTATTACATCCTCCTGACCCCTGCTCTATATACTTGCTGTACATTACCTACTCCTGACCCCAATGCACTATATACTCTATGATTTGTACATTACATACTCCTGACCCCTGCACTATATAATCTATGTTGTACATTACATACTCCTGACCCCTGCACTATATACTCTATGTTGTACATTACATACTCCTGACCCCTGCACTATATACCCTGTTGTACATTACATACTCCTGACCCCTGCACTACTATATACTCTATGTTGTACATTACATACTCCTCCTGACCCCTGCACTATATACTCTATGTTTGTACATTACATACTCCTGACCCCCTGCACTATATACTCTATGTTGTACATTACATACTCCTGACCCCTGCACTATATACTCTATGTTGTACATTACATACTCCTGACCCCTGCACTATATTCTCTATGTTGTACATTACATACTCCTGACCCCTGCACTATATACTCTATGTCGTACATTCCATACTACCTGACTTCTGCTCTCCCCCCTCCCCCCCCACTGCTATATATACACATAATATGGATTTCTCTTTTGTTCCCCCCCATTTCCTCCAGCTGGACAATTTTATATCGGATGATGTGATTGGAGCACAGACTTTTACATGGTGATAATAATGTGATCACATCCTCCAACTTTGGACCCTTAAACAGAAAGTGATAATGTGGGAGGGAGGAGTCAATACCCCAATGATGGTGGTCTTCAGGATCAGTCCAGTCTTCATCTTGGTTGTTCTCCCCCCATCCTCACTCTCTGACCTCTGGTGGGGCTCAGCCCCGCTGTTCTTCATGGACTAAATCATGGAGTAAATAAGGGAAAGTGCAGTACTTCTTGTGTTGGGAAGATGGAGATGAGTGATAGATGGGGGTGGGGACCCTCGTCCTATAATCCCCTCATCACTGTCCCCCCTATAAAAGACAGTTCTGGTTGTTTCCTCACTCTCTGACTAAGGTCCATGAATAAAGAAATGACCTGGTAGGAGATCAGAGGAGCCATCCTTTCCTAGTTCCCTTGAGGGTGGAATTGTAAGCTCCTCAGAGACCAAGCTGCCTGATGTGGGGCGGAGTCCTGGTTTGGGGGAACCAATCAGCTCCTGTCTAGTAATCCTCTTTGTCTTTGTATTTTAGTCCATGGCCGGGGAGATGAGGAAAACCTCCGAGGATTGTCTCACTTTGTCTCCAGACTGGAAAGTAGAAGATGAGGACATCACCACAGTATATAGTGCCCAGGAGAAAAAAACCCTGGCTCCCTCCAAATTGTCCATCCGGCACCACCCAGTGTAGATGGACCATCAGATTCCTCGTATCCTGAGGAACATCAGACTGTGCAGCTGGGACCAGCCCGGCCTTCCAACAGGGAAGTCTGCTTCTCCTGTACTGAGTGCAGAAAAGGTTTCTGTTCTAAATCCAAATCTTAACGTGCATAAAAGATCTCTACACGGGGGAGAAGCCATATTCCTGTCCTGAGTGCGGGAAATGTTTCCAATCTAAATATGGTTTTAATGTGCATAGAGGATCTCACACGGGGGAGAAGCCGTATTCCTGTCCTGACAGTGTCGGGAAATATTTTTCACGAAAGTCTCAGATCTTTACACACATCAGAGATCTCACACAGGGGAGAGAAGCCGTATTCCTGTTCCTGACTGTGGAAATGTTTTTCCTCAGAAGTCTAAACATAATTTTACTGACATCAAAGATCTCACACATGGGGGGAAGAAGCCTTATTCCTGTCCTGAGTGTGGGAAATGTTTTTTAAAGAAGTCATTCTTCATAAACATCAGAGATTTCACCACCTGGGGAGAAGCCGTTTTTCCTGTCCTGAGTGCTGGGGGAAATGTTTTTCAGATAAGTCCTATCTTTACAGATATCAGAGATGTCACACAGGGGAGAAGCCGTATGCCCTGTCCTGAGTGTGGGAAATATTTTTCAGACAAGTCTACTCTTCACAACACATGCGGTCAGAGATCTCTCACACAGGGGAGAAGAGTTCCGTTCATATTCCTGTCCATGAGTGCGGGAGAAAATGTGTTTTTCAGTGAATGTTCCCGTCTTCTCACACACATCAGAGATCTCACACAGGTGGAGAAGCCGTATTCCTGTCCTGAGTGCGGGAAATGTTTTTCATACAAGTCTAGTCTTCACACACATCAGAGATCTGCACACAGGGGGGAGAAGCCTTATTCCTGTCCTGAGTGCGGGAAATGTTTTTTTGTCACAAAGGACCAGTCTTTCACACACATCAGAGATCTGCACACGGGGGAGAAGCCTTATTCCTGTCCTGAGTGCGGGAAATGTTTTTCACTGAAAGTCCAATCTTTACAGACATCAGAAGATCTCACACAGGGGAGAAAGCCGTATTCCTGTTCTGAGTGTGGGAAATGTTTTTCATACAAGTCTAAGTCTTCACACACTCATCAGAGATCTCACACGGGGGAGAAGCCGTATTCCTGTCCTGTGTGCGGAAAAAATGTTTTTCACAAAAGTCCAGTCTTCACACACATCAGAGATCTCACACGGGGGGAGAAGCCGTATTCCTGTGCTGAGTGTGGGAAATGTTTTTCACACAGAAGTCTCATCTTTCACACACATCAGAGATCTCACACGGGGGAGAAGCCGTATTCCTGTCCTGAGTGCGGGAAATGTTTTTCAAAGAAATCCATTTTTTGTAAACATCAGAGATCTCACACTGGGGGAGAAGCTGTATTCCTGTCCTGAGTGCGGGAAATGTTTTTCACAGACGTCCATCTTTACAGACATCAGAGATCTCACACAGGGGAGAAGCCACTTTCCTGTCCTGAGTGAGGGAAATGTTCCTCACTGAAGTCCTGTCTTCCTGTACATCAGGGGTCCCACACAACCCTGGAGGTGTATTAGTGCCTTGAGTGCGGGAAATGTCTTCTAGATGAATGTTGCTGGACATCCCAGCTCTCATGTGGGGAGAAAGCACACCCTGATATACACCTCAGATATACTCCATGGCTGATCTTCATCATGGAAGAAACAGTCCATAAGGAGATCCCCCAAGACATGGATGAAGTGTGGGACCGGGCTTCAGACATTTTTCAGTGTAATCTTTCACAAATTCTTAGAGGTCTATGTTTATAAAATGAGTGGAATAAATATGAAATGTGTTTGATCAGCCATGAGACATATTGTCTGTATTTTATTTCATATAGTGGTTTCCTATGACCATCTAGTGCACGCTCTGAGAGTAGAAGTCTAGGACAAAAAACATCATGGCAGCAGATATTCCCGGCTACAACTATCTACAATTTTATGTAAATGAGTTTTGGAAACAAAGTTGTGTTTTTCAATCCAT